GCCAGTGGGGGTACAGGGTTCTCATGGCCCTCCGGGTCCCTGGGGACATCCTGCACAGCCTCTCCTTCCCCACTAACTGCCCCAGGGTCCATGCTGGTGGCGGGAGCTGGCTCCAGGGGTGGTGGGGTGGTCTGCACTGCGGTCACCTCAGAACCCCAAGGGGTGGGTCGACTCGTCAATGCTGCAGGTGAGTGGGAGTCCTTGGAGAGGGTGCCCTGGACCTGGTGGTATGCCCACGGGGTCCAGAATGGCCACTGCGCTTGCCATGGCCCTGCACCCACATCCTGACGCTTACGGTCCGATTTGTGTCTCCGCCACCAAAGACAAAGACCTGGAACACGAAGGCCAGGGAGGTGCTGATCACAGCTGTGCCTGCGATTGGTATCGGGAATCTGGGGAGCGGTGCCACGACGTGTGGTGCCGGGAGTGGGACCTGTGCCTTGCCGGGGACCAGTGCCGCAAGTCAGAGCGATGCCATGGAGATACAACTGATTGCATCAACATCGTGGGCTTGCCTCGAGACAGTGCCGCGCGTTGCAGTACCAGAGGCTTCTCCTGACTGGCCGGGGACTGTGGCACCATCATGGCGCTTAAGTCCCTCGCAGCCTCGAAGATGTCCGGGGTGGATGGCAACTCGATGTCCTCCACCACCTGGCCCAGAGAGTCCACGAGCACCAGACCTGACGTCCCCCGTTGCGGGGCTGAAGTCGATGGTGCCGCCTCCTGGGCTATCGGTGCTGGGGGCTCCTCCCTAGGAAGCACACCAGTGTCGTTTTTCAAGGCGGCTGTCCTCAGCGCCAGAGATCAACCCCTGTCCTGCTTGCAGTGCCGCTTCTGTGGTACGGGGAATGGGAGCAGTGCTGCACTGCCTCCGCCAGCCTCGGTGCCAGGGAGCGCCGGTGCCGAGGGTCTTTATGCCCACAATCCTTCCTTGGCACTGCTTCGCAGACGGAGGCCGGAGCGCTCCGCATGGAGGAGCTCGGTGCCGGATCCTGCCATGCCGAAGCTGTCTGGGGACAAAGAGCTGCCCCCATCAGGAGCTGCTTCAGGTGACAGTCTCACGCCTTTTTCGACCTGGGATGAAACCCCTTACAGATCTTGCACCGGTCAGTTTGGTGTGCCTCCCCCAGACACGTAAGACAAGAGTTGTGGGAGTCGCCCATTGTCATGGGCTTATGGCAGGATCTCCAGGATTTAAAACCTTGGGCTCGAGGCATACCCCAAGCCCCAAGGGGAAATAGGAAAGTTGGGGTGGGGAGAACGCCCACTCCTACACCAACTACTATAAACTAACAACAGATTACAAAACTACAACTATACAACTACTAGGAGAAACAAGGAGCACTTGCAATAGCAAGCCACTGCAGTTCCCACGACCGTCACTGGCGATAAGGAGGAACTGAGGAGGCGCCAGGTCAGCAGGGTCATATATTCACCGCCGTTGATATGAGCAAACACTCGAAGAATAATGTAATTTGCGAGTGTTATTACTGGATATAGTGCAGGGCAGGGCAGCGACTTTCCTTCCTAGCTCCCACCCCTGGGGCTGTTCTCACTCCTGAACAGGGTTTCCTCAAGACCCCTATCCAGTGCAGCTACACCTGTGGCTTTTCAGTGCTGTCCCCAAGGCTTCTGCCTGTGTTCTTAGCCCTCAGTCTCCCCATCACCTTAGCTGTGTCTAACCCTCCCCTCCCGACATGTGCATGAGTAAGGGGAATATTTACAGAAGGGTTTTAATTTATACTACAGCATTCATTTTTCATTATCAGCTAAGGGTGGGGTATAAAGTCCCCCCATAAAGTGGCTCTCTAAGGAAGACATTTGAACTGGCCCTCTTCACTCCAATTACTTTTGTAATCATCTTTAAGATGCTTGGAAAAAACAGTTCTATTATTGGTGATAAGTGTATGAAGGGACTCTCACCCTGAGGAGAAAAAAGTGCTCTTTTTGGGCAACAGCCTTAAAAACAGATCAGCAATATATTACTCACCAAGTACCTTGGTATCATGCAACAATCACAGTATTAATACAGGAAAAGACTAGATCTGATTTGAAAGGACAGTCAGATTCTTCTGTGTGAACTGGCAAATCATTAGAGAACTGGGTAGATCGTATGTTTTATTCATGTGTTCTTACTTGAAGTAGCTGAATTTGCACATACTGTGCGCCAGTTGCTGGATCCCTTATTGTTAGGCCTCCATTTGGCAAAACAATGTTGCCACACAATCGATTCCCATGACTGGTAGATGAGAAGTTGGTAGGACTCACTTTACCACCTTTGCTTTTCCTCTGGCCAGAATTTGATGCTGCTGAAATAAAGTTATTTTATTAATTATGTTGGAACATCTGATTCTTTGGTAAGTTTCTCCCTTGGGATTTGTCAAATTTCATCTGAAAACATCTTTTCTCCCTTGCCTCTAGTTACTGTGTCTCCTTTTACTATTAACCAACTATAACCATTAAAGTAGTTAGGCCCAAAAGTAGAGATAGTAAAATTTTATGTAGCTTATGTTTTCATTTTTTTCTGTTTAAATTTCAGTTAAATGTTTGTTTGAATTTAAATATTTCCCTGCATATTTCTCAATATAGACATCACATTACCCAGGAGAACAAGAAAATACTATGATTAACATTAATATCTTCATTGTTCATGCTGAATAAGATGCCAAAAGAAAATTAAGCATAATTTGAAGATAATACACATTAGATCTTTTCAATTATGAGGTGTTTTTGTTTTGTTTTTTTTTTACTTCAAATGTTAACAGGTAAACATTTTTAAACTAGGACTTTCAACTTTTGAGTGTCTATTTAAATTCTGTTAATGCATTTTAAGATGCAAGACTTGTTTGAAATACTATATAGAAGTTTTTATTACTCTATACCAGGGAAAATATGTGCATGGGAGGGAAGCAAAAACAGGAACCGATTCATTGTCTCTGAAAGTAAATGGCTGTCACTAAGTTACTGGTAGGTGACATGTTAGACATGACACAAGGAATCTTGTTTAAGAAGGGAACTGGAAATTTTCTAGCTCTGTTTTATAGAACAGGGGCAAATTCAATCAAGTCTCCTTTCAATCTAGGATATCACCAAGCATGCATTTTGGACAAACTGCCATAATTACAGATCACTTCATAGACAGACAAAAAGAAGGATAGTATTTTTTAAAAGAAGAGAAAGTGCATATATGCATAGTGCTATAAAGCAAGAGACATGATAATGTTTAATTTGGAAGTGTAATCCTTTGCTTACCTTAAGACATAACTAAAAACTGTCACCTTGATTTTCAGAGATAGGAGGCAACAAGAAACGTAAGGAAAAAAATTGCTTAGTGTGATGTTCCTCTCCCCTTGAGGGCAGCTGCAACTCAAATAGCTGTCTCTTGTTGTTTCGTTATTTTTTCTGGGCAAGTTTAGCGAGCCATGGAATACATTTGACCTAACAAAGCAACAGTGCACATCAACAGACAGCTATGAATTCCACTGTAGTTTAAGGGGAGGAAAACAAATGGGCTAGTTATGTAAACTATGGCCCAAAGTTTGTGTTTCATAAAAATCTGCTACACGAGATTGAAGGTTAATAGAAAGGTTTCAATTAAAAAAATAAAAATAAAAAAGTCAAATAAATTCCCCTACTGTGCTTTCAAACTAACACTGCAGCACTGTGCTAATGCACGACCTAGAGGTGAAACTGACTAGTCTGTTTTCATTCATTGTCCACGTTGAGTAAAATGAAAAGCACAAATAGCAAATTAGATTTTTTAAATTGTTTTGGTTTTAATACATTAAGGATAATCCTATGAGTAGAGTAAGTAAATGATATTGAGGGTGAGGGAAGGGGGAGTTTAAATATAACTTTAACCTACCAGGGTCCCTTTAACAGAAAGGGAAAACCCAAGTGTGGGGTTTTTTAAACTCTCAATGAATTTTAAACTCCATGCAAGAAGACCATCTCAATCATCTACAAAAAGCATACCTCACTCAAACTTATTGCAATCAGCAACGAAGTCTATCTACTTGAAAGAGAGATACTCCCATTTCATTGCATGTTACTAGATTCAGCAAGGCAAATGCCTCCTCACCTGTGCTGCTCCCATTCCCTTTCTGTTTTCTTTTCTTGGCTAGCTGAATGGCTCTGTAGTCTGTCCTTGCAGATCCACCACTCTCCTAATCAAACAAGAGATACGTTTTATACATATTTGAAACAAAAAATTAAGCTAATGAAGCCAGACTAACGAATTACTCGTTGCTCATAATCTTTTACATTATCCTGTATATTCATCTAACACTGGGTGGCTGGGATTTAAAATGAGTAAGTTTTTTAAACAGTAGCAATCAAAATTCTGATCGGTCCCCTGCATGTATCTGGCATCCAAGGTTATATAGACTTCCATGTTTATCAGCTTTTCAATAAGGTCATGGTGATAAGGGAAACATTGTATACTGAAAATAAACATTTATCTTTACATAGTACTGGAAAGGGAATGGTTTCCCAGAAGCCGCATTAAAGGTAGAGTTATGGGAACGAAGACTGAGACTAACAATTTCAGTTACTTTCCATCCCCAAACCCTTCCCTGAAACTAATACACACACAGGACATACCGTATATTCCCTTCCTTATGCTTTCTTGTTAGTCCCACTTCACCCTTGGGGGGTTAATTTTGAAACTTTTTTATTTTTATTTTTTTAACTTTGAACACGATCCTCCCTCCCCCACCCTCACAATTCAGGCCTTTTAAAGAATTTTTCACCATGTTGAATCCATGTCTAACAACATATTTAGTCAATACAGAGTTCTACATCCTTCATGAAAAAAAACCCATGTAATTGGGTAAATCAGTATGAAAGGTCTGCCCATAAGTTGCAAGCAGCAATGGAGTATCCTCAAAGTTAAGGTGCTTCAGTCATCTGGGGACAACTGAATATAGTTACTGCATACCAAAAATGAGCTGCAAGTCACTGTGCTAAGATCCATTTCTTTCTGAGCACTGTAGCTTCCTGGTGGGTTGGAGAACACAAACTGTGTCACCACTTTACTGCCTTCCTGTTGACCAACAACATCCGAGCTAGGAAGCAAGTTTCGTTCAGCTTTAGTTGGTGTCAGTAACTCAGGTCCATTGCTTCCACCAAGGCTGCTGGAAGGGGTCAAAGTGGTAGTGTCTATCGTTAGATTATTGCTGGATGTCAAACCATGTAGGTCTTGACTGGAATTCTTCACTGATAAAGATGCTAGCGAACCTAAGGCTTCTGCATTTACAGTCTGTACATCATCCAGATTTGAAGTACTTTGCTGTAAAACTGTAGCAGTGGTTCCCATCAAGAGAGAACTGTCCAGGCTATGTGGAATATCACTACTCGCCACCAATATCAAAGGGTCAACTGTTTGACCTAGGGAATTGCTATTGACAGAAAGGTTTCCACCAAGCGTAGAGCCTACTGAAGCAACATCTATGGTGACAATTCCAGAGTTTACTAAAGCCATATCTGTTGCAATCCCAGAATTGTTACCAGACACATTGGAGAAAAGGGACACAAGGTCTATGTTGCTGAGGTCACTTTGTCCTGGACTGGTGAGTTCACTACTAGGCGTGAGGGAACTGGTTGCTTCAAGCTGGGTTAAGAGATCTGAAATATAATACATGTATTAAACTTGTTGAAAATGCAACAGACCAATGATAAAGGAAAAGAGGTTGTGTGTCACTACCTACAGATCAAGGGGTGCAACACTCAAAAGTGGGAATACACAGAAGCCCCAAAGACACACACTTATAACTAATAGAACATATGGATACTTTTTCCAGAACAGGTAAGATGCCAACAGCACTCTTAAAGTTTACATACACTGCAAATAAATGAAGCAACATTACTGACCTCAGAAACTGTGGGCTTTATAAGCAACACACTTGTACCAGACACATGAGAATTTAATAGGGAAGAAAAAACACTGCACACAAGTGTCTGAAGACAGAGTATCCTTAAAATTATAGGCTAAAAATATTTCCTAAATTAAACCCACTTTTCTAAACCAGAATCACAAAGGAAAACAAGCTTATTAAAACAAAATTCATCTTTATAGTAATTGTGAGATTTCCCAATCAGAAGAAAAATAGTTTCAATCAAGTATTAGTTTCCTGTGTAACGTATCCTCCTCCCATCCTTACCAAAAATATTGTACAGAAGTGACTGATCTGTGTATATATATTTAGAACATGGAAAAAAATTTCGTTCTCTTTCCTATTCACTATGCTACCAATGTGGGACTTTGAGCTCTGTCTTATTTTGCTTCAGTTAGTGGTCTAGATAAAAGTAGGATGAATTTTTAAGTTTGCCACATCACTGAAAGACAAAAATTACTTTAACAATGTTTACTAATGTTCCACTGTGATGAAGAATTTCATATCCAGCAAACAATTATACAGTAACATTATTTGTTCGTACTGCGGGACAACAGTTCCTTTCAGCACAGGAATTTCTACATACACTTATACTCTCCAAAATACCCTCAAAGCAGTCCGTGCTACAAGTTAGGACTTAAAACCAAAATACTCTTAAGTCCTCATTATCAGGTTTTAGAAAGAACATATTTAAAAAAATCTTCAAGAGCAAGATCTGCTTTAATTCAAGATGTTACTGACTTCTGGAAACCACAAGCCAAGCTCTAGTCACAGCTCCCACTGAAGATTTTATATCATAAACATGACATATACAGAAAGAAAAAATCCTGGCCCCACTGAAGTCAGAGTCTTGCTCTTGACTTAATGAGGCCAGGATTTCACCCACAGTTTTTGCCTGATATACATAGTGTTTAGGCTTCCCTTTGCCCCAGCCATATTTTGAGGCTAAAATATTATACCTGGACTGAAGTTGTGCTGTTTGACCATGTGAGTCTTCATACTGTGCTTGGAAGTGAACAATTTATTACAACTGGACACTGGGCAACGGGTCTTTGATGAATCCACATCTTGAAGATGTTTCTTGGAGTGAATATACAAACTGCTGCGTGCAGAGAATTTTGCACAACAACCTGCAACATGATACACAGCATATTACAGGATCTTTCTTAGTTTTAACTTAAAATTTGTATTTAGAATTCCCTGGTAATCATCTCAAAGTCACATAAATAAAATGTTCTAGTTAATTAACTTGCAGCACTTGAGCACGGGTGCCATACATACATAAATACAGGAAGTTGAAGAAAGCAGCCAAAGCAAAGAAGCAGAGTTTCAAAGGAGCAGAAGAAATGTCATACCAGAGCAGACCACTGATACATCTAGTCCAGCATCCTGCTTCCAAGAGAGCAAAAAACCCAAATGATTTAGTGAAAAGTGCCACAAAGGCACCTTAAATAGAAGCATTTGATAATGGCCACTGGTGAAAGCATAAGGGAGGAGGAAATGCTTCCTGACAACCACAGGACAAAAACCACTGTTTTATGCCATGAAGTGTAAGTAGCAAGGTTCCTTGTTCAGACAGGAAGTTGGGTAAATGTCTTGTGTCTATTTATACAATTATAATCTAAACCCTTTTAAAAAAATCCCACTAGAGATCGTGCCTCAATGATTTCTTTCAGCAGCTGGATCCACAAATCTTTTGTTTGTATTCATTTTAAAACCATGGGTCTTATCAGTAAGCTCCCCACATACCTTTAGCCACTTAATTATCCCTTAATGAATATTTGTAGTTCTGCAGAGACCTTTTTGCTGGAAGAGGCAACCCAAGGTGACCAGCAGTACTGGAGATGTAAATGTACTACAGAGTTATAGAAAAAGGCCACTATAACTCTTCTGCATGACTTTCTATCCCTGTTAAATATAACCAACCAGCCTATTAGATTCATCTGAACAGCAATCAGATGCTGAGCAGACATCTTCATTCTATCATTGCTTGTAATTCTTCCCTCCTGCAGAGACACACACACACACACCCAAAGTAACATTTCCCAAGCAGTTAGTCAACTGAAAAGATAAACAGTGTCTGGACAGTATCACAGTCTTAAATCTAAAGGAAGTGTTGATTTCCTTTTATCACTAACTGATGAGAAAAAAATCAAGTGACAATGATCTGCTAGCCATTTCCCAGGTCTCCTTCAAGTCTGGGACAATGTGGTTTATTCAATTAGATGTTCTTTAAAAAAAATAAGCTACAAAAAGGTAAGAAAGGTAAAATAGGACTTTAAATACCCAAGGCTCCAGTCCTTCAGTGAGCCTTGACTAGGCAGGACCCTGCACCTACCAAAGTAACAGCACACAGCACAAACATCTCTAGTAACAGCACACAGGACCGATCAAACAAACAAACCATACCTTCCACTGGACATTCAAATGGTTTTGTGCCTAGGTGAGTTATACTGTGGCCTTTCAAGTGTTCTGCTCTTGTGAAGGATTTCCCACAGCCTTCTACTGGACATGTAAACCTCCTGTCATCTTCATGTTTCCTACAAAAAAGGGGAGATTACTATTCCCAAACTTAAATTCTCTACATGCTCATTTCTAGCATCAATTACAACCACTCTGATTTTAAAACTCACTCTTACAACAATTATCTGCATTAGAACACGTTTAGCCAACACAAAGAACTGACAAGTAAGCCATGTGTTGGGTTTTGGTGTGGTTTTGTTTTTGAGCATAACTAATTTTTTTTTTTACCTTTTATGTCTTAGTAGCTTGGACATGCTGGTGAAAGACCAGCCACAACCTTCAGAATCACAGATAAAAGGCCTTTCACCTAATAAATAAAAAGATCACATTTAATCATATAGTAACAAAAATACATGTTGATATTGTGAAGTCTCAAAAAAGTTTAAGGGACATCTACACTGCAATCCAATCCTCCCCTCCCCCTGCAGCAATGAGTCTCCAAGCCTGTGTCAACTGACTCAGGCTCATACTGTAGGGGCTAAAAATAGCAGTGCAGACATTCCCACTCCGGCTGGAGCCTGGGCTCGGAGACCCTCCCCAGGTTTCGCTGCCGAGTGGGAATGTCCGCATGGCTATTTTTAGCCCTGTAGCACAAGCCCAAGTCAGTCGACTTGGGCTCAGACTCACAGCAATGTTTTTTTTTCCCTTCTGTAGACATACCCTCAGTTATTTTAAAAAGTTAACTATAAAATGATATTTTAGTTTCTTTATCAAACAAGTTTCCTTATCTACTGGCCATGTCCTGCAATTGGATCTGCATGGGCAGACCCCTACGCTCCCATGGAACTTGAAGGCATCCATGTGGGTGCATGGATCCACATACGTAGATCCAACTGCAGGAGATGACCCTATATTAACTTGGACAACCAGATTTTTTAAAACCCAGTTTGCTTTCCACTGTTTATGTATTAGTTTGTGTGCATTTGTTTCCCCCCATTTCTCTGAGTTATATTTTGTTGTCCAAACTAACAGGCAGTCCATTTAAAAAAGTCAATAAAATCCACTTCTCCCTGAAGATGTTTTACCAACTATTGTTGTAAACACTTAAAATTAGGAAAATATTTCTCTACTCTTGTAGTTTGTTCTATGCAAGTGATAGCACTTGGTCTATAGTCAATTTCCTCCTGTTTCCATAATCTTTCACACAGTATCAGAGAAAAAAAAAAAAACGGTAAGAGACAAAAAACTGGTGAGATTGTAAAGCCACAAAAAATGTCAGAAGGACAGAGGGAAAGGTATAGAACTACTTTTAACTTAAGTTTCTTTTTTAAATTGACAAGATGAAGCTGACTGTCACTTATAAGTCATGGACAGTTGTTTAGAGTCATTTTCAGGTTCTCACTCTTCCAACTCTTGGTCACAAACATTTAAGGGGTGTTTCTATTGACATTTTTTTAAAAAATCGTATTGGTGTTAGGTTGTAAAGACTGCTTTTATAAATGGCTAAAGCTTGAGGTTGCATTTGACCCAATATCTCTTTATATATTCAACTATCCCAATTTATGAACTACCCTGCTGAATACCTGTGTGACTTCTCATGTGGATTTTCAATCGGCAGGCTTTGTCATACTGCTTGCTACAACCAGGGAAAGAGCAGGAGAACTGTTCTTGCTCTCTGAAGTGGGCTCGATTATGAGAAAATAATGCACTCACTGTGATAAAGGTTCTCTCACAACCTAAGGAAAGAGTGGAACATCATCTTAGCTCAGTGTGACATACACAATAGGAAAATTAAACTCTATACCAGTGGTTCTCAAACTTTTGTATTGGTGACCCCTTTCACACAGCAAGCCTCTGAATGTGACCCCCCTTTATAAATTAAGAACACTTTTTTTTATTTATTAAACACACATTTAACACTATTATAAATGGTGGAGGCAAAGTGGGGCTTGCGGGTGGATGCTGACAGCTTGCGACCCCCTCATGACCTCTTGAGGGGTCACTCACGACCCCGAGTTTGAGAACCCCTGCTCTATACCATACTTCAGGGTTTGCAACTATGGATTGGAATTGAATATCCACCTAGACATGGTATGTTTTGGGCACAGAGAAAAGCAGAACCAGTGCAATTTAAGCTGGCAGACTGAGGCACATCATCAGATTAGAAGACAACAGTGAGGACAGTGCTCACAGATTAAAAAATTGTTCTACTACTGTACATTGATCAAAGCACTATAAGTCTAATGGGGATATGCTGAGTGATATCTTTTCCCTTTCTGCTGTTATTCAATCAGCAAACTCTGAGGGATCTCTCTCTGACAAGGGACAGAAGATGGAGATCAAAAGATTCCAACTGTCCGTCCCAGACATCAGGGTAAAATAGAAGTGTGGCGGCTCAAGCTAGAACTGACCAACAGGCAAGATAAACATGGTATCAAACCTACAAGACAGTCTAAAGAAGGGACTCCAGGTTAGCCACCCTTGCATATAAATATACCAGCCGATCCCAAAGAAACACTGCAGCATAGTAGTGCTCAAGTAAGTACCTCACCTACATTTAATCATCAAAAATATCTATGATTTAGATTATTTGAAAAGATTGCTTTGCAGGTTGTGAGGATATTGATTTATTCATGACAGGGCTAGAAACAGAACCTCCTTCAATCATCAATGGATGAGAAACATTCATATACTATTTCAAGTTAGGCAGAATAGTGCATAGGATACACCTCTTAATAGGTCTGAACAAGATCAGCATTGCTTGATGTTTAATTAGGCGGTCATGTGACAGGACTGATTCATGAACAATTTTAGGTGTCTAAAGGGGACATCTGCCTCTTGGGTGAGAACTGTGACACCCCCTGTCCCCAGCAAGGCAGTTGCTCTATGAAGTCTCCCCACACAAACCAGCTCTCCTCCCTGTTCCAAAAAGACAGGTGACCCTAGTGGTCCCACAAATGCTGTAATTCATTCCTTGCCCCATTTCTCTCAGGCAGCCTCCCCAAATAGCTCTCACAGGTCCCATGATCATAGATAGGACTCGGGCATCCCCAGACCAGTTTCACCCAGGAGGATCTATCGGGGCATGGGACTGTGCCAATGCGAAGGCACTAAGCGCACCCCCATCCCCAGTAAGGCCCGAGAAGAAGGGCGAGGCCCGAGGCCAGCCAGAGTTGATTACCGGGGAACTCGCAGCGGTAGGGCCGGTCGGGCTCCAGGTGGCTCCGCCGCTGGTGCGCTCCGAGGCGGGCGGCGCTGGGGAAGCGCTGCCCGCAGGCCTCGCACTTGTGCGCCGCCTCCTGCTCGTGCGCCCGGCCGTGCGCCCGCAGGTTGTAGACCGTGGTGAAGCGCTTGGTGCAGCCGGGCGCGGCGCAGGCGAAGGGCCGCAGCTTGTCGTGCGAGTGCAGGTGGCGCCGCAGCTTGTAGGCGGTGGCGAAGGACCAGGCGCAGCCGGGCACTGGGCAGCCGAAGGGCCGCGCCGCCCGCCCGCCGCCACCCGGTCCGGGTCCCCCGTGAGCCGCCTGCCGGTGCAGCCGCACCTGCTGCTTGCGGGAGAAGGTCTCGGGGCAGCGGGGCTCGGGGCAGTGATAGACCAGCAGCGCCCGGGAACCCCCTGAGGCCAGGCCCGGGACCTCCCCGCCCGCCGCCTCCCCCTCCGAGCCGGGGGGCTCGGCCCGGCTGGGCAGCGGCGATGCGGCTTGGGGGGCGGCCGGCTCTGGCG